TTTGCTCCAAATATTGAAAATATAGAAATTTATACAAACATAATAAAACGAATGAGGGCTTCTTGTACTTTATCTGTTTTTTTGTCTTAAAATCTCAGTGAATGGTTGTATATGCTTAGACTGATTTCTTCATTCATCTCAGTGAATGGTCGTATATGCTTAGATTGATTTCTTCATTCTTAGATAATAGTGTGAATATACTGGTTTATTTCTGAATGGAATTTGACTATGTTGATGAAGTGGGGTTTTTTTTTTTTTTTTTTTTTTTTTTCTTGTCTTTTTCAATTATCATTTATTTCATTCTCTTAATGTTGCATTTGGTATGCAGTAATGTGAGAATAGAATGGGAGTGAAATGATGATTCTCATTCGAACGTTTGATTACAAATATCAAACGTGTAAGAATTGAATGATAATTATTCTAATTATCCTCCTATTCTAACAAACTATATTGAATATTGGTTGTCGTCAAAGTCTAACAAACTATTAAATTTTTTAAACCTAGGTTAGGCTTCACATTGAAAAATTGAGTTGATCTGCTGTTTGTCTCATGCTATTCCTATCAATATAAAGAATAATATATTGAATATTATAAATGACAGCACAAATGAAAAATAAGTATTGAATAAGGTATTTGTGGAATATTTTTAGCACAAGACAACCCCATTGTAAAAATAATTATCCAAATATAAGAGGAATCAGGTTAAATTTCAATTAAAAAATAAAACGTTTGAAAGTTGTTCAACTCCTAAAAGACGTGATAGGAGTTGTTCAAACGTGTAATAATTTTGTATGTTCTCATAATCATTTGCTAGTGTTGGCAAATTTCAATCAAAGCCAGCATGTTGAGTTGTAATTTTGATTTTTAGTGTTTATTTGAGAACTTTATGTTTTAAAGATGAAGTTCATCAAATTGAAGCGTCGTCGCCCTAAAACACACTCTAGGATCAGGTAAGTGAATTGACGAGAGAGCAGTTGGTGCTGAAAGCTTCATTTTTTTTATTTTTTTATTTTTTTTTTGGGGAATCCGGACAGAAACAAGAGGATGAGCGAAAACTAATCGATGGGAAAGAGATAAGGCCATCGGCAAACAGTTTTGTTAGGATTTGCATTAGTGTGGGGCTGACAATTAGGTGGCTTCACATAAAAAAAGCTTGCAATTGCAACAGCCAAAATTAGTCGTCCCATTTCATTTTCTTTTCTTTCTTTTTCTCTTCTGGAGTGGTTGATCCAGAGAGAGAGAGAGATACGGTGTAGAAACAGAGAGGATGGGGGGGGGGGGGGGGGGGGGGGGTTGATCTAAGGGCAATTTGTTCCAAATATTGAAAATAGGACGATACTTGTTTATTCACAGGTGAGTAGGAAGTTATTCCTAATGTGAAGCAAAAGTAATGTGACAAGTGTCTCTAAAATAGAAAATAAAAAAAATATATAAAAAATTGAATGCTTGCCAAGTCAACCCAAAATGATGCAAATCAACTCCTAATTTAACTCTCCCTCTCTTTCCCTCTCTCAAACTACTTCGCTAAAACCCTAATCTGTTAATACCAGAAGTTTTGACTTTAATATATGTTTCATGGTTTAATGTGTAATCCTTATGTATACTTATCAATTGTTTTTATCTAAAGTACACCAAATTATTTAAAATCTTATTGACATAGTTTGATAGATGACTTGTTGATTGCAGGATAGATTGTTATTGCTTATTTCTTGTCTTCTTTTTCTTTTGGCGGAAAACAAATACCTATGTATTATTACATTTATAGTTCTTCTTTGTATTTATCATCCAGAACTTTGTTTGTATCTTGTAATATTATTTTATTTAAGAATTTTAGCTTCTTTTTTTTTTTTTTTTTTTTACTAAATCCCCTTCTGATTCACTCCTTGGACAAAAAGAGAAACCAAAGTAGCCTAAGAGAGGGGGATAGAGAGTTAGATTTGGATCATATTGGGTTTAATCTGGATAATCTCTCAAATCTTTTAATTTTTATTATTTTATATTATAGGGACATGCGTTCCATTAATTTTGTGCTATATCAGGGGTAAGCATGAATTTTCTATTCACTGGTGAGTAGACAAGTATTGTCCTTGAAAATATAGGAATTTATACCAGCTATAATAAATAGTATGAGGGCTTCTTGTGCTTTATCTTTTTTTGTCTTAAAATCTTAGTGAATGGTTGTATATGCTTAGACTGATTTCTTCTTTTATCTCATTGAATGGTCATACATGCTTAGATTGATTTATTCATTCTTAGATAATAGTGTGAATATATTGATTTATTTCTAAACAGAATTTGACTATGTTGATGAAGTGGGTTTTTTTTTTCCTTCTCTTTTTCAACTATTATTTATTCCATTCTCTTAATGTTGCGTTTGGTATGCAGGAATGAAATGGAAGTGAGAATGAGAATGGAATGGTCATTCACATTCTATTGTTTGGATACAAATATGAAACGTATAGGAATTGAATGATAGTAATTATTCTAGTGTTTGGTTGGATTAATTTAAAATTTAAAATGGAATGAATTTCAAATTGAATTCTCCAAAATACCCCCTCTTAGTGACAAATAAACTAAATTAACAAAACAACATTTTTCTATAATTTTTTTTTATAAGAAATGATGGCAATGATGGTGGTGGAGGTGAAAAGTGGTAGTGTTGTAGGTGGTGGTGTTTGAAAGTAACGGTGGTAGCAGTGGTGGAGAGCGGCAGTGATGGTAGCGGAAGGCAACAGTGGTGTTAGTGGAAAGTGGTGGAAGTAATGGTGGTAGAGTTAGAAGGCATTGGTGTTCTAGGTGATGATGGTAGAAGGCAATGACGGTCGCAGTAGTGGTGATGGTGGAAGGCGGTAGTGGTGGAGGTGGTGCCGACAGTGATAGTTGTGGCAGTGACGGTGGTTGTTGTGGTGGAAGGCGACAGTGATGGCTGTGGCAGTGACGGTGGTTGTTATGGTGGAAGGCAACAGTGGCGGAGATGGCAGTAACGGTGGTAGCTGCGGTAGAAGGTGGTAGTAGTGTAGGTGGTGGTGGTGGAAGTGGTTGTTGTGGTGGAAGTATAGGCGGTGGTGGAAGTATTGGCGGTGGTGGCAACAATGATGGTGGTGGAAGGCAATGGAGGTGGTGGTGGTGGAAGGTGGTAGTGGTGGCGAGGACGGTGGCGAAAGGCGGTGGTGGAAAGCAATGGAGGCGACGGCGGTGTGGTGGTTGTAGGCGGCAAAAATGATGGTGATGGTAGTCGCGATGGTGGAAGGCAATGGAGGTGGCTGATAAGTGCTGGAATATGCATATTTCAGCCCCTAATCTTGGGTATATTAGACCTTTCATCTATCCTTACTTTCCCGTTCTAGTCTTAATTTGTTTTATTGTCAATTTTAGGTCAATAAGGTTCAAACGGGCTAAATTCAATTCATTAAAGTCTTTTTGGAGTCAAGCAAATGTAGCGAGAAAAAGTTCCAGAAATTGCCAAAAATGAAGCCACGATCGATCTTGCAAGCTCCACGATTGGTCCTACCTTTCCACGATCGATCCTGAAGAGGATAACCCAGTCAGCAAAGATCAAGCCTACGATCGATCCTGCTAAGTCTACAATCGATCTTGCCAAGTCTGTGATCGATCTTGCTAAGTCTGCGATCGATCCTGATGAAGATAAGATCAAACTCAACCGCCATGGATTACGATCGATCCTGTCCAAATTACGATCTATCGTGGCTTCCTGCGATCAATCACAACTTAAGTTGAGCAGTTTTAATTGCTTGTTTCAGGCTCGAATTTCAAAAACCAAAGGGCTGCGGGATTGCATCATTTGATGGTATAGGTCTGACATGTTTTAACCTCTAAGGGACACCTATAAATAGAGGATTGAACTATCTTTTCAAGGGTTGGCACTTGTTGGTAAGTTAGAGCAAGCCTAAGCAATTGTTAGACATTTTAGAGAAGAAAAGAATAACTTGCAGATCTACTCTCTCTCTAGGGTTTCAACCAAGGAAGAAGAAGAAGACGAAGAGATGAACCCAAGCTTGGAGATTGATCTTGAAGACACCTTGATGACATCTACCTTCTCCATGAGTGGCTAGTCCTTCACTTAGGGCTTGGATGAGCCCTAAGCTTGTGTAATTAAACTCTTGTTCTTCAATTTTTGGGGATTTATATGTTGTAATTTGTGTTATGATCTTGCATAATCAAACTTGGTTGTACCAAGGTTTTTATTGATAATTCTTCCTATTGATTCTCTATGTTGGTTGCATATTGGCTTATGTGTAATTAATTGAGGTTATGCTCTACACTAAATGCTTTTTGTAATTGTGTTTAGTGATGGCCATGCATGGGTCTTAATTGGTACAATTGTTAATTAGCTTGATGGATTATGCTTAGTCTTGATGAGTTGCACTACACCATTAGGTTAATTGTAGTTAGGTAGACAATTCATGCTTGAATTTGATAGTCCATGCTTATTATTGCAATTTGTATTATCTTTTTGATTGATATGTGCTTGTAGCCACATTTTGATTACAATATGGTTTTTCCCCATTAGTTGAAGACAAGTGGTTTAATGCATGAGCTTAGTGGTGACTCCTACGTCCTAAGACTCTCTTCCTATCACTTAAACCCTATTTACTTTAGTTTTATTTCCATTGCATGTTTCATTTAATTGAACATTAGATTAATCAACTAAATAAACTTCCTTTCAATCTCATGTTCACTAAGTCAAGTTAAATTCCAATCACGTGTTTAATCCCTATGGACGATCCCTTTTCACTTCATACTTGCGTGTAAGTGTTTTGTGGCTTTTATAAATATAAATGTTGATGCCCACTTAGCACATTTTCATATAAAAAATTTAACACATTTTGTAGTACACACTAAAGTCAAATAAAGTTTTTGGCGTCGTTGTCGAGGATTAACGGTTTTAATTGGAATCAAATTAGACATTAGTGCTCATTTGATTGCAAGTAGGATTAATTTCCTATTATTTTCTTACTTTTTGTTCTATATTCAATTAGGTACTTGACTACAAGAGATGCAAGCTTTGGATCACAACATTGTTGCTTGGGACCGTTGTGAGCGTTTCTTGAACTCTTGCACCATAATTATACATTGCTATATATGCTTGCGAGATAGCCTTTGTCGAGGCTGTCACATTGTTTATATTCTTGTCTAAACATAGGTCCTTATTGAGGCCATTACTTTATTGCTCAAGTATAGGCCTTTGTCGTGGTCATTACTTTATTGCATTTTGATATTGAGGAGAACGGGATCATCGTATGTGGATGGAGTTGTTGTGAATTGTTGTGAAGGTCTCTTCATACTCCTTTCGTCCCTCTAGACCAAGAACTTGAATCTTCCCTTCGACGGTTAAAAGGTAGTACTAGAATAAATCTTCCTATTCTTGACCACCCAATCAATTCAATGGAAGAATAAAACCCTCTTCTTGGTTTTGTTGAGCCTCAATTGGTGCCACCACTTCTAGGAATGCCACAACCCAATGTAGTACCACCACCTCTAGGAGCCCCACGGCCCAATGTAGTTCCACAACCTAATATGGTGCAACAAACCAATTTAGTGCAACTCCCTCCCGGAGTTCATTTAGCGTACCTATTTCCCAATCCTCAAATGATCCTTCGAGATCATTACATTCCAAATGTCTGCAATGCACCGACTTGTTATCGGTTACCAGACTTTAGGGCTCACGATTATGAAATAAAGCCGGGAACCATCCAAATGTGCCCCCTACTTAATGGGATGAGCCACAAAGAACCATACAAGCACTTGGATGAGTTCTTAGAAGTTTATTCAACATTGAAAATCACGGATGTTCTAGAGGAAGTTCTAAAAATGAAGCTCTTCCCTTTCTCTTTTTAAGATAAGGCGAAATATTGGTTTAACAACTTGGGGGCAAATACAATCACTTCTTGGGCTCAAATATAACAAGAGTTCCTTAAAAAGTATTACCCCACAAGTAAGACCAATGCAATGCGAACTTTCATTCATGAATTTTCCCAAGGTGATGGAGAGCCTTTGCATGAAGCATGGGAGCGTTTGAATTATTTGCATTTTATTATTTTCAGTATTTATTTTAATTATTTTCAGTAAAACGTAAAAAGATTATAATCGGAATTTTATTATTTATTTTATTATTTTCAGTATTTATTTTAATTATGTTGGAGGTGCTTACGTGGCTAGGTGTTGATGGGTTTAATTACAATAATTGATTATTGATTTGCATTTATTTATTTGTGATTTGAATTAAATGGATGTAATTGTTTTATATGAATTATTTGAATAAGTTAAATTGTGAATTTGTATTTGTTCTATTTAATTTCCACTATGGTAGGATTAGGTTAGGGTTTTAGTGTTATTATCACCTTCAATTATGCAGCCGACGTTAGTATAATATAGGTTGGTCTATGGGCCGGATAAATCATTTAGGGTTTAATAGAACCTAGAATTGGTGGTCTATAAATATACCAGTGATGTTCTTCCTAGGGTTAAGGGTTGTATTCACGATATAGAAAAGGCAGAAGTAATTTGGGAGAAGTCTGGGAAGTAACAGAGAGGGAAGAAACAGAGGGTTGGCCGGAGACTTTAGGACGACGTCGGTGTAAGGCAAGTTCTAATCCTAACTCTATCCCATTGATTCGTGTTCTTTGCATGTCTAACACAACTCCAGGGAACTGTTAAGGATTAAAATTAAACTGGATTTCTTGTACCTCTGTTGTTTTAAAACTGATTGTAATTGTTATATGTGTACTGGTTGTTTTAATTGTCTTCCTTGTGTAACTTCTGTTTAATTCGTGTAATCTGATGAGTAAGGATTCTAATTAGTTCTATAACATGTTGGGAAACATTAGAATTAATTTAGGTTGCAAGTTTGATTTGCTGCAACAGTCGATGCTCAAGAATGCTTAAACTGCTCGTATTAAATTCTTGTTGCAAAATCCATGTATTAAATTGAGTTTGGTAATTGAACAACGAATTCAATAGATTTTGGAACATGTGGAAACTTAGTTTAAACATCTAAGAACCTTAGGATTGGAAGACAGTTCCTCAGAAGTTTACCGGACGTAGAGACGATGAACACACGGGAAGAGAAACGACTCAAAGTTTAAAGAGCAGGCTCTTAAAATCAAAGAGCCGGCTCTTAGGGGACTTGGAGCCGGCTCCAAGACTAGGAGAGCCGGCTCCTAGCAAAAGAGAGCAGGCTCTTCTTTTAGAAGGGCAGGCTCCTTCACGGTTTTTCCAGTTTTTGATGTTTCGGCGACCGTTTGGGCTACGAGGGTTGGATTTTGGAAATTTCAGATCCTGTTAGAAGGTATAATTGGGGTTTTCAGTATGTTCTAAGGCCATATTAAAGTTCTAAGGGTTGGTTAACTGGATTAAAACACTGGTGTTTATAGTAAAACAATGCATAAATTGTTTGAGGCAAATCTGGTTACCGTTTTTGGAAATGTAGAGGTTTAATTGCCTTTAATCTAATCTAACAGATTACTAAGGATGGTTACACCATTTTAAACATGGAATTGTGGTAGGAACAAGTATGCCTAAGCTTTAATTACTGCTAGCTATGGATTAACTGTTATATAAAACTTAACTCGTTTCAGTTTTGAGCATAAGGACATGTTAAGTCGATTGTTGTTTTGATGTCGTATTAAATTCCTACTGTTATAACAATCTGATGGGATGCTATTGGGTGTAAATTAGACTCCTATGATTAGTTTTAAAAACCAATAGAGTGATAGGAATGATCCGTTGAAGGAGTAGAGAAGCTGAAACAGAGCAGAACGGAGAGAAGGCTCACAGGGGGAAGGAGAGCCGGCTCTGGAATGCCAAGAGCCGGCTCCCACCTGATTAGAGCCGGCTCCAAGGTTGTATAGAGCCGGCTCTAGGCTGTTTTGGAGCCTGCTCTACTTTGCCAAGAGCAGGCTCTTTCCAATTTGATGGAATTTGACACGTACTGTAATGTTTTTAGCTACTGTTTTGGCACTTGGGGTTCTTGAACAGATTTAGAATTTTAATGGGGTTTTCATTAATTAGTTTAACCTGTAATCAAGGTCTTTAATTTCATAAAATACCCTTTTTGTGTTAATGGAATTAATAGTGCGCTATTTAACAACTATGCGTACGATTAACGACTGGAAGACAATTAATTGTCTAGTTAAATTTGACAATTTAAGATGCTATAACATGATTCTAAATTAGGTTTTAGATGCACGGTGGAGTCTTTTAATTAACAAATTGGACTTGGGGCATAGGGTATGGCTCCGTGTTAAAGGATGAAACAGAATACGAGTATAACACTTAGTACGCTGTTACCGGATGGAAAGAACTAAATTGCTTAAATTAATTTAGCAATTGTTTGGATTATAACATGATTATAAAACTGGTTTAAATGCATGATAGAGTTGCTGATTTATTAAAACTGATCTAGGCATGCTCTGGATGCTGGTTGTTGAATTATTACACCGTTTCTTGCAAATACATGGTTTAGATCTTGGATTTAAATTGCTGAAATTTTAATTACTTTTCTGCAATGGTACGAATATTTGGTTTAGGACTGTAAATTACTTGCTTATTATTTATATATTGTAATTTACACGGATATGGAGGATTGTATGCACCGGTATGGGACGGTGACATACTAGGTATGATTTAGCTCAAAACGCTAATTCCTACCTTATGGATTTTAATTGCTGAATGGTTTTACCTGTTCTATCAATTATATGGATTTTGTGGATTGTATGCACCGGTATGGGACGGTGGCATACTAGGGACCGACTGATTCAAAATACTCAGTCCTATATATTTTGGAATAAGGGTGTGAATTATAAAAACATAATTCTCCTTATATTTAAGTCTGTGCGGTTGAATAAACTGAACGACTTATGGGATCTCTTGTATAAGTCTATGCAGCTGAATAAGCTGAACGATTTATTGGATTTCCTGTGGATGGATATGTATGGATTTTAAATATATTTTTATGGTACCACGAGATGAGCTTGAGTCTCAGGCTCGTTGGTTAGGGTGCGTATATGCAGTAGTATGCGTAGCTGGATATGAGAGGTTGAGGTATACCCTGTTAGGTCTAGGTACTCATGCCACCTATGGGTGCGTTTTCGCATGTTGCCTTCTATTCAGGTTGAGGCCTTCTCCATAGTCCAGTGAGAGTCCTGTAGTGTGAATATACATATCTACGGACTATTTAGTTATTGTTGAGTTGGGTAGAATGTATATGCGTATCGAGTCTCTGCTTGGATTGTAGTATGTTAGAACTTGTTCGTGGGTTTGACCCACCTTTATTTTTCAGGTACTTGTCAGTTCCAGACTTAGACTTGATCGTGCTGAGCAGAGACTACTACTCACTCTTCCGTTGACGTAGGACTTTCCTCCATGGTTTACTCTGGATGTTCTTTAAGTAGCTTCCATTACCAGTTTGGATTATTATTAGGGGTCCATTAGAGATGGATTCCCGAGTTGTATTAGAATTGGAGAAGTTGGGTGTATCAGACTAAATATTTATTTATAAAATTTTATTCTGAGGTTTCCAGTTTTGGTTTATCATTCTAGTTTCTTTTCAGCAATTTATTTATTCCTGCTTTCTTAATTATATTTTGTGTTCGTTTATTGCTAATTGATTTAATATCCTCGGGTAATTGGGCGTGGGCCTGGCCAACCCGCATCCGAAAATTCGGGGTTATCACAATTAACGGTTTTAATTGGAATCAAATTAGACATTAGTGCTCATTTGATTGCAAGTAGGATTAATTTCCTATTATTTTCTTACTTTTTGTTCTATATTCAATTAGGTACTTGACTACAAGAGATGCAAGCTTTGGATCACAACATTGTTGCTTGGGACCGTTGTGAGCGTTTCTTGAACTCTTGCACCATAATTATACATTGCTATATATGCTTGCGAGATAGCCTTTGTCGAGGCTGTCACATTGTTTATATTCTTGTCTAAACATAGGTCCTTATTGAGGCCATTACTTTATTGCTCAATTATAGGCCTTTGTCGTGGTCATTACTTTATTGCATTTTGATATTGAAGAGAACGGGATCATCGTATGTGGATGGAGTTGTTGTGAATTGTTGTGAAGGTCTCTTCATACTCCTTTCGTCCCTCTAGACCAAGAACTTGAATCTTCCCTTCGACGGTTAAAAGGTAGTACTAGAATAAATCTTCCTATTCTTGACCACCCAATCAATTCAATGGAAGAATAAAAACCTCTTCTTGGTTTTGTTGAGCCTCAATTGGTGCCACCACTTCTAGGAATGCCACAACCCAATGTAGTACCACCACCTCTAGGAGCCCCACGGCCCAATGTAGTTCCACAACCTAATATGGTGCAACAACCCAATTTAGTGCAACTCCCTCTCGGAGTTCATTTAGCGTACCTATTTCCCAATCCTCAAATGATCCTTCGAGATCATTACATTCCAAATGTCTGCAATGCACCGACTTGTTATCGGTTACCAGACTTTAGGGCTCACGATTATGAAATAAAGCCGGGAACCATCCAAATGTGCCCCCTACTTAATGGGATGAGCCACAAAGAACCATACAAGCACTTGGATGAGTTCTTAGAAGTTTATTCAACATTGAAAATCACGGATGTTCCAGAGGAAGTTCTAAAAATGAAGCTCTTCCCTTTCTCTTTTTAAGATAAGGCGAAATATTGGTTTAACAACTTGGGGGCAAATACAATCACTTCTTGGGCTCAAATATAACAAGAGTTCCTTAAAAAGTATTACCCCACAAGTAAGACCAATGCAATGCGAACTTTTATTCATGAATTTTCCCAAGGTGATGGAGAGCCTTTGCATGAAGCATGAGAGCGTTTGAATGATTTGCTACGAAAGTGTCCACATCATGACCTTTCTAAGTGGCAACTCGTTCAATGCTTCTTTGAAAGCTTATCCGACACTCACAAAAGTATCGTCGATGCTTCATGTGGAGGCACATACTTGCAAAAGCATGAAGACGACATTTGGACTCTTCTTGAAAATATGAGTGAAAATTCAATGCATTGATCTTCATCTTCTCGATTAGGTCGTAATTCAAATGTGGGAGGGAAGAAAAGCTCCAATCTATGTCCATGGAAATTACCGCTGAGGTCAAAACTCTTACTCAAAGGTTTCATCAATTTATTTTGAGTCAAAACCCAGCAAATTAATCATCCTCTTCTTCCCATCCTCAAAATGAGATGTGCATGACTTGTTCTAGCTATATTAACAATATTTCCAATTGTCCTCTTGGACAAGTTTTACCAAGTGAGTCATAAGAGCAAGTCAATGCCGCTTTCACTTGTCCGAGGAGCAATCCTTATTCAAATACATAGAATCAGGGATGGAGAGATCATCTAAACTTTTCTTAGAGAAATCAAGGAACGGGTGCAAACCCTCGTCATCTTCAAAGTTCCCAAGGAAAGTATGTTCCTCCTCATCTCCAAAATTCAAATTCTCAAGCATATCATCCTCTATCTTATCATCCTCACAATGTGAATCACTCTTCTAACCATCAAGCTTCGAATTCTCAATCTTACTATCATCCACCTCAAGCACCTCCTAGGAATTCTGCCATTGAGGACAAGGTTCTGGCAGCCTTGGGTAATCTAGAAGCAAACACTTAATTGCTACACTCTCATTCCCAATCCATTGCAAAGCTTTGAATCCCAAATTGGGCAAATTGCTAATTTAATGAATGCAAGGGAGAAGGAAAAGTTGCCTAGTCTACCTGAGCCCAATCCTAAGGCATACTACATGGTGGAATCAAATCCTACATCAGGATTTTTCGGGCATGAGCAAGTATAAGCCATCACCACTTTGAGAAGTGGTGAGAAAGTTAATAACAAGGTAGAGAGGCCTAGTGAAGTTACTGACCCGATGCAACCAAATGGTTATCCGCTTCCTAGTCCAAATTCTATTCCTACTTCACCAGAAGCAAGTGGTCACATTAAGGACCTTCCATCATCATAATCATCTTCCTTCCATGCAGAGAAACCTTATGAGCCAAAAACTCCATTTCCTCAAGCTTTGAGAGACTATTCTCCATTTGCAAGACAAGAAGGAAAGATCCATGATATGATGAAAGTTTTCAAGCAAGTAAAATCCTACCTCTTTCTTCTTGATGCCATTCGTCAAATTCCACCGTATGCCAAGTTCTCAAAAGACTTGTACACAAAAGAGGAAGAGTAAATGTCAAGCCCCTAAGAAAGTGCTTCTTACGAAGCAAGTGAGTTCAATCATTAAGTATAACACCCCACCTAAGTTCAAAGACCCCGGTGCTCCAACCCTCTCTTGCATCATTGGGAACCATGAGGTTCATCGGGCTCTTTTAGACTTAGGGTTGAGTGTTAATCTCATTCTTTATTCCGTGTATTGTCAATTAGGTTTGGGTGACCTAAAGCCAACTTCGGTAGTCCTCCAACTAGTTGATAGATCCACAAAACAACTGAGGGGAATTGTTGAGGACATCCTCATCAAAGTCAACAAATTCTATTTCTCGGTTGATTTTGTAGTGCTTGATACCGAGCTGGTTCCCAACCCTACCAATCATATTCCCATCATCCTCGGAAGACCATTTCTTGTCACCGCCAATGCTATAATTAATTATATATCGGGCATCATGGACATATCATTTGGCAACATGATGGTCAAGCTCAATGTTTTCAACGCAAGCCAACATCCCATCGTTGAATGCGAGAGTTTTTTAGTGAATGTTTTAGATGAACTTGTGGAAGAGTCCCTTCCTTCTATTCTATCAAAGGACCCTCTCGAGGTGTGCCTCACTCACTTCAATATGGATGCATTCTACATCGAAGGCTCCATATGTGAAGTGAATGGTTTAATGGACACCGTGGCCACATTGGACTACCCGCTTTGGAAAACTTCAGAAGAACATTTTCCTCCACTCTCAAGTACTTCACCAGTTCCATCATTCATTTCTCTACCTACTCTCGAGCTTAAGCCATTCCCATTTGATCTCAAGTATGCCTTTTTAGGCCTGAAGGAAACTCTCTTGTCATCATTGCTTCAAATCTTGAAGATGACCAAGAGAAGGATCTTTTGGAAGTGCTAAAAGAGAACAAAGAAGCCATTGGAAGGAGTGTTGCCGACTTGAAGGGCATTGATCCTTCCGTGTGTATGCATCGCATTCATATGGAAGAAGATGAAAAGCCTTTTAGGGCCACTCAAAAGAGGTTGAAGCTTAACATGAAAGAGGTGGTCAAAAAGGAAGTGGTCAAGCTATTGGATGCCGGGATCAAATATTTTATCTCCGATAGTAAATGGGTTAGTCCAACACAAGTAGTTCCCAAGAATTCGTGAATTACGGTCGTTGAGAGTACCAAGGGTGAGCCAATTTCTAAACGCACCACCACTTCATGGCGTGGGTGCATTGATTACCGTAAGCTCAACTCCGCCACTAAAAAGGACCATTTTCCTTTCCCCTTCATTGATCAAATCTTAAGAAGATTGGCTGGGCAAAGTTACTACTGTTTCCTAGATGGTTACTCAGGTTAAAATCAAGTAGCCCTAGACCCGCTCGATCAAGAGAAAACTACATTCACTTGTCATTTCGATACATTTGCTGACTAACGGATGCCGTTTGGTTTGTGCAATTCCCTTGCCACATGTCAAAGGTGTATGATGTCGATTTTTTCGGAAAAATATCTAGAAGTCTTCATGGATGACTTCTCGGTCTTTGGGTTTACGTTTGATTCATGCCTCAAAAACCTGTAATACCCCTAATTTTAAAAGGATAGTCTCGAGATTTATTTATTTATTTTATTACATTTTATTTAATTATGTGGCTATTTGTTTATGTGCTTTTAATTAAATTATTTGTTTAAATTAAGTGTGTGCTTAAATGGTATATTTTAATTATATTGTTTTGTGTGATCTTATTTGCTTAAAAGATGCGTAGTTATTTGTATTTTAATTTTTAGGATTAAATGTTTATTTATTTTATTTTTTAAAAAGTTGGATTTGGATAGTAGCAATGGACCAACCAATTGGGTCACATGGACTACTTGGATAGGAGTCTTGATGGGTACGGATATTTACCCATGGATAGTTGTGTGTGTGTGTGTGTTTGTGTGTGTGTATATATATATATATATATGTATGGATATATATATATATTTGGATAGTTATTATTATTATTATTATTTGTTTATAGTAATAGTAATAATATTAGGATGGTTAGTATTATATATACAGTTATATGTATTATATTATATATATATATATATGTATATTTTTCTATTTTTCCTTTTATTTTATTTTTCCTTAAGGTAACAAAGTTGGGAAGGGATTAGGATTATATATATATATATATATATAGTAGGTCTGTGAAAAGGGTTACAAAACCTTTATCACGCAGACAAAGAGAGTGGCAGAGAAGAGAGAATGCAAAGAGAGAAAATAGAGGGTTTTTGGCCAAGGAGAAGGCCGAACCAAGGAAGGAAGGAGTAGGGTTGTTCGTGGGTTAGAACCAAGCAGTAGAGAGCTTCGAAAGCAACCCAAGAGTCGCCGGAAAAGCAAGGAAGAAGAAGGTCAAGGTTTTCAATCTGAAACCTTAAGGCAAGTTCTTCTTCTTTCTATTTCCCTTAGATCACGTGTTCTATGCATGCCCAGGACGATTCTAGGATCATCAAACAATAAAACGACCATATATGCATGCTTAAAAGGATTAATTACAATGTTCTATTATATGTGTATATGATTGTTTGATTTTGATCTATGATGCATGAAAACCTGTTTTAATTGGTTTAATTTATGCTTAAAGGATTAAAATAAATATTTAGGATCGTTTGAGACTTAGTACAGATAATTAGGACCCTTAATGGAGGAGATCGGAGCAGACAGAGGTCGCTAGAGACGAAGAAGACGATCTACAGCAGGAAAGAGCCGACTCAGTCCCAACTGAGTCGACTCAGTTGTTAATCGAGCCGACTCGGTTGAGAACGAGTCAACTGGATTGATGAACCAAGCTGACTTGGTTGAGAATGAGCCGATTCGGTTGGCAATTGAGCTGACTCCTTCTGTGAAAGAGTCAACTCGGTTGGGCTGCGACGTGGGAGTTATGTTTTATTGCCTAGAATTGTTTTAAATCTGTTTTAATTAATTTAAATGGGTTTAATGGACTTGGGAATGTCCCATAATGCATAATATACCTTTATATGCAATAGGATTGGACAGTAGAGGATTTTTAATAAACTTTTACGTGGTTTATTGGATGCTTTGATTTACTTAATTGTTTTAACAAGTTAAATAAAGTGTTTAAATGATTTTAATCATGCTTAGGATGATTAGTATAATTTAACTGAGATGAGGTTAATTACTTGGGATGTAAGTTAACCGCATGCTATTTAAATTGTCATTATTGCTTAAAGTTATTTAAGAAATGTCTGTATGATTTATACCATGCTATTTTTGGATTATTTGATGTATGAATATATATGTTGCATCAATTGTTGGATTGTGGATGTAATACACCATCGTCAGGATTTGGGGACATATAAAGGATGGATTAACTAATAAGTTAAGTTCTACCTATTCATGTCAGGCCACGGAACTAGTTGGATGACATGTCATTGAAAGAATACGGCGGATAGTTTATTTTTATGTTTTGGATAGGATGGATTTATATATCTATAGATATGTGCCATGATATGAGCTTGAGTCTTAGGATCAGTGGTTAGGGAGCGTATATTGACAAGGATGCATAGCTGGATATAATAGATAGTTGTATGCACTGGTAGGTCTAGGTACTCATGCCCACTACTTGTATGTTTTGCATGTTGCCTACTATATAGGTTAAGGCCACCTTATAGTCCAGTGAGAGTCCTTTAGTGTGTACCTATATATATATATATATATATATATATATATATGGACTATATAGTTATTATGGAGTTGACTAGGATGTATACATGTATCAGGTCTCTGTTTGGACTGTAGTAAAGTAGAACTTGTTCGTAGGCCTGAGCCACTATTATTTTTCAGGTGTTCGTCAGTTCCAGACTTAGAGATTGTTCGTGCTGAGCAGAGACGGTCTTCATCACTCTTCTATGTAGGATTTCCTTTATTTTTTGTCTTTGGATTTCTTTACTTCAGTTATTGTATTGGGATTTTATTAGGGGTCCACAAGATAGATTCTCGAATTGTAATCTAGAGAGTTACTGGTATCAGAGGATTTAGATTATTATTGGATGATTAATTCTATTGGATTATTTATTGGAGGATTTTATTATTTAGTTTCTTTTTAGCTTATTTGTTTATTCTTATTTATCTTTTGTATTATATAATTGTTTATTACCTTAATTGTTTGATACTTTTCCTCGGTGTCATGTGCAGACTTGATTAACCCATTTTCCGAAATCGAGGGGTATCACAAAATCTCTCTTTAGTGCTTGAAAGGTGTCGAAAGACAAACCTAGTGCTTAGTTGGGAAAAGAGCCATTTTATGGTTCAAAAGGGGATTGTGCTTGGACATGTCATATCCAAGAAAGGTGTTGAAGTAGATAAGTAAGTTGAGCTTATTTCTGAATTACCTCCACCTTCTACGGTGAGAGAAATCTGCTCATTTCTAGGTCATGCCGGTTTCTATCGCCGTTTTATCAAGGACTTTAGCAAGATAGCTAGACCCTTGTGCAATCTACTTGTGGGTATCTACCCACTAAGGAGGCCACTACCAACAAGGGGGTTTTTACCTACCAGTGAAGCCTCTACCACCAAGGAGGTTCCTAAGTCCAGGGCGATCATTGCGCTAACGAGGTACTCAACTAGTGGTCACCAAGCCATCATCTGTCGTACGTACGTTGGGCACCATGCCCCCATCCACCAAGTATCAAGCCGATCGCTGGACACCGAGCTTTTACCTACTAGACTCCTGGTTGCCACCTCTTTTCCCTTACAGGAAATGCCCATCGACTTCGAATTGTGTAGAATTTTTGATCCATAATCCATTGCAGATTTTCAGTAATCATCCTGAATACAATCCAACATCTTAGACAATTGTAAATTGTTGCAGCACTAAGATACCCAGTTTACCGTCATTAAATGTCTATAGAATGGGTCCTCACCTAACACCCCACATTCATTATACTGGGGGCAGAGTAGTGAATCACATGATATCAATCGTTGATTTACATATGATGACAAGGTTTAGAAGACTGACGCATCAACCTCGGTACATCAAGCCAGCCGAGTTCCTGGTCTCTCTCCCCCAGCTTGTACCTGACCTCTTGGGGTACTTGGTTTTCCGAGACCAGGCAATAGCTTTCCAAAACCAATGCCCGATCATCCAAAACCATAGCCTGGTAGGTCTATAAACACTAGGAGGACTTTAAGTCCAATGAAGTTTCTATAATTAATGAGTTCACCACATCCAAGGTGGTCCTATGCCCAATGAGGTTTTAACCATCGAACACTAAGGATTGTCTTTTCTACCAGGAACCAAGCTCGGTCTCTTGCACATTAAGTCTGGTGGGTTTCTGCCACCATGACCACAATGCAGGGCGAGCATAAAGGATAAGCTCACGAAACTCAAAAATTTTGCTCCCTTATTAAAGGGCAAGCCCATTAAGCTAAAAAAAAAAAAAAAAAGGCATATTCCCTTATTACAGGGCAAACTTATAAATCTTGGGTAAAACTTCCCCTTATTAAAGAAGCGGGCTGGGTGAAACTCATAAAATCTACCCCTTTATTAAAAGGGTGAGCTGAGTGAAACTCGAAAAAATTAAACCCTTTATTAAAAGGGCGGGTTGGGTGAAGCTCAAAATTGTTACTCCCATTATAAAAGGGGCGAGTTGAGTGAAACTCGTAAAACTTATTCCTTTATTAAAGGGACGAGTTGAGTGAAGCTCGTAAAACATATACATATATATAGTATGTTGATTCCCAAAGGAAACCAACTATCACCGTCTATTCGGTGTTGTTGAGTGTGAGATTTGAACCCACGTCTTTTAAACGGTTGTTCGCTACGGGAATACTAGCCGAGGGAGAACTATTCACCTTAGGAAGCATACCCCGAGGTAAAGCTGAGGTAAAACTATAACCTCGGGAACATTACCTTGAGGTAAAAAAAAATAAAAAAAATTTATTGTTCATCTCGAGAATAGTACCTGAGGTAGAATTGATCACCACAGACGTATTATTTCCAAAGAGAATAAAGCGATCATGTGGTGGTATTTGTATGTCGCCTTGGGGAATTTGTAACCCAGGCAAAAAAAAAAAAAAAAAAAAAAAAAAAAAAAATTGGATTCCAAAGAGAATAAAGTGATCATGTGGTGGTATTTGTATGTTGCCTTAGGGAATTTGTAACCCAAGCAAAAAAAAAAAAAAAAGCAGATTCTAAAGAGAATCAAGCAATCACGTGGCGTTGGGATTTAAATTCACGCCCCTTTCATGTGAAAACTTTTGAATACCTTGGGAATAGTAACCTAAGGTAAAAAGTAAAAAATAAAAATCACATATTTTCACCTCAGGAATAAAAAAATTAAGGTAAAAAAAAAAAAAGAAAAAAAGAAAAAAAAGAAGAAGAATCGACCTAGTATTGACCTTGGGATATGTAACGAAAATTATAATGGTTGGAGATGCTCTGATGTGTCATAATAGATTAACACAAAAAATTTAAATTATTTATTTTTAGCTTTAGTGGTTGTTTTATACCTTTTTTTGTAAAAATATATCCCTCAATAACAACCAACTAGTGTCATACCTGAATCCCACATAATTTTTACAAACCTACTTAATATATGGTTGATTCGTTAATGAAATGAGAAAGATGGAGGAAAAATGAAATATGTTGATGTGGCTATGTAAAAATGTTATGTAAAATATACAATACTTTTACACATTGGTGACGTGGCAGTATATCTTGATAGACTGCTGGAAATAAAAAAAAAAAATTACACATCATACGTAGTAGTGTATATTTTACACAAAAGAATATTTTAAGAGACCGGAGATGCTCTTAGGGTTTGGATTCTATAATCATAAGTTTTGCTATTTTTTCTCTCTTTCCTGTATTAAGATTTTTTCTATATTAAAAAAAATTACTTTTAAAATATACAAAACAGCCAAATAAATTGACAACTAAGTAACCACCTAATTCAAAATAAAATCTAAAACTAAAATTCAGTACTGATTTTTCATAAATTAATGACCTTAAATCAGTACTAAGATCTCGTGAGATGATTTTTAGTGAACTTAATTACTTCTATTGTGTTGGATATAATAATTAATATTAAATCTTAAAATATTATAATTAATATTACATGTAAGTGAAATTATACTCCATCATCATCTCTCTTTCTCTTCTCCTTTTTTGGTCTCGCAAATTTTAAAATATTTTATGACAACTAAAAATACATCCTTGAAATTAAATCTTAAAAACAGCTTTTGCCAATCAAATTATACACATATATCACACGTCCTCAGTAAGATAGGGTGCATGGTTTGACGTATCCAATAGCTATTTTAAATTTTCGCGCTACCAATACCCTAAGGCTTCGTTTGGATACGGAGGAGAGAAAAGAAAAGAAAGGATTAGAAGAGAAAAGAAAAGAAAGGAAATGATAGTTATAATGTTTGGATAGATAGGAGAGAAAAGAAAGGAAAACATAATATGCTTGTTTGGATAAAACAGAGTAGAGAAAAGAAAGGAAAGAATAATAATGAAATTACTGTATTACCCTTTTATATATTTTGATAAATAATCATTCATAACTTGATAGCATACTGATTTTTTTTTCTCTCCCTCAGTTTCATTGGAAACTAAAATTAATAATAACTAGAAAAACAAGATAACTTGATAGCATACTGTTGTTGTTGTTGTTTTTTTTTTTTTTTGATAAGTAACTTGATAATATATGTATAACTTGATAGCATACTTTGAAGATACATAGATAGATATGTATGTAAGATTTTTATACCACATTTTCTCATCTCTTCATAAACTTTAGGGTTTTTTTTTTTTTTTTTTTTGGATAATAAAAATAATACTAAATAATTAATACCAACTAAAAGTTAGTACATTCTTTATTAATAGACAATTTTACTATAAATCAATGTCTACACGTAAGACATGCAATACATTGTTCAATTATGTATCACATACTTCTTAACTTGGATAAAAGAGCGCTACATATATATGGTTCTTCTATACCTGTAACACCACAAATATGTAGCCACACCCCTAATTCCCTGTGTTTAGATCAATATTTGCTTGTCCCTTACATAGGTAAACAAATTTTTTTAAAACAAGGAGTAATATATATAAAAGTAAAAAATCACTTCTCAAACACTTCTCAATTGAAGACAGAATAGCCTAAATTCACAAAAAGTAAAATTATAACAAAATGACTTCACAAATCACTTCTCAATTGAACAAAATATAGCCTCAATTCACATCCAAGCTACATTCACACGCCTAGTATAACATAGTACACTGACTTTAATCCATTATAGTTTTTTGTTTCTACATTCACACGCCTACTCAGGAATTCATCAAGACCTTAAAAAAAAACATATGCCATCTTCAACACACCATACGAAGTTCCATAGAGTTTACATATCAAAAGCTCCATAACAAAAAAATAAAATAAAATAAAATAAAATAGATACAAAAAAATACATAACTAAACTTAGACATAATTCGAAGTTCTACTAATTGTTTTAAAATATTACCAACTTAAAAGACATTATCAAAAGTTAGTATAACCGAAACCATTATCAACGCCAAGAATCATTGGACATCAGTTCCTCCAGGAGTATCTTGCGAAGCACAGGTGGGCAACCAATAAATTGTGTCATTCTCTCAGGATGGTCACGCTTAGTCAGAAAAATAAAGGCCTTAACAGCCGCATGCCCCTCTAATCCAATTTCCGCCAAAATCTTAAAGAGTTCTTCTTCGTATTTTCCCTTTTGGTTCCATCAAAATCACTTGATATGTTTGCATAGCATATATATATACATATAGATATATGGAGAGAGAGAGAGAGAGAGAGAGAGGGAGGGAGTACATATGAGCTCTGCAATCAAAACTGACAAAAATAATGAAACGAAGAAGGATTTGAAGATAATTTGGGTTAGGTTAATACCTTGATGAGAGAAAGCAGGTGAGTTTTTGTTGAAGACGCAAGAGAAGAGATTAATACCTAGGTGAGTTTTTGTTGGAGACGCAAGAGAAGAGATTAATACCTTGATGAGAGAAAGTAGGTGAGTTTTTGTTGGAGACGAAGAGAAGAGGAACAACGCTTTTGCAGAAGCAAGAGAAGAGGACTTGAGAAGCTGCTGCCCTAAATTGTATATAGAAATTGGAAGGTTAATTCTGTCTTTGTCATCCTTTCCCCTCAAATCTTCTCAACTTTGAGAGAGTTTGTTTTTATTGTACTGAAAGGATTGGGAGGGATAACAAATCATTTCTTTTCTTCTCAATTCCCTCCACCCAAACACACTAAACTCTATCCTTTCCGCTCTTTTCTCTCCAAATCTCTCCAATTCCCTCAATCCAAAAAAAGCCAGTCAAGCCCTAATTCCAACCAAACGTCTACTATGTCCGCAATTCACGCTCATTTCTCTCACCACCGCCAACCTACGATCGTCGTCACCTGCGGTTGCTCCCATCATCATTCCACAATCGTTTCAGTTGCTGCCAATACCGTACTCCAACCATGTAAATTGCTGTAAGAACCTAATCTTTTCTATTTCTCAAGTTCTTCCCTCTTTCTCGCGGACAAGGGGTTTTCATCTCAGTATTACAGTTCACAGAAATTCAAAATTGCAATCATTAACCTAATCTTTGAATTTTTTTCTGTGTGACATAAACTAGCACAAAGCATATAAGCAAACCACTGAAAGCATGATTTTGGTCCTATTTTTGATAGAGAGTGGAAGTTTAGGTTGTCTCCTTTTTTTGGGCTTGACCTACTAATAAAATTCTTCTCTCCCTTTTTATTTTATTTTTCCTCTTTAATATATAACATCACTCAAAATATCACAACTAGTAGTTTTTACTTGCAACTCTGTTACCTATTGTAGGAAAGGCCATAGTCAAATAGACTTTAGACTGCATAAATACTCTACATAGTTTAGCTCTAATTGAATTCTGAGTGCAGATTTTAGGATATGGTTGTGGTAAATTGCTGGAGACAACTTTTTTTTTTTCGTACACTGCTGGTATAATATAAAGCATTGCTATATAGTGGGGCCATTGTTTGTTTGAATGGAGTCCTTATACCCTTTCTCAGCGTTAAATTTTTTTGGCAAATTTTAAAGGTGAACAGGTTCTCTGAGTAATGGATGAAAATGGGTTCCAAATTTGCTTCTGGTTTTTGTTCCTCACGTTTTTGAATTAAGTTCTTCTATTAGTTCCTTTTCTTTTTTTTGCTTGTTTGCTCATATACATGCCTTATTCTTTTTTTGCCTTTTTGTTTTTCATGTTTTATTTTATTTTTTTATTTATTTTTATTTTAGCAAAACACATATGGTATAATTATGGAAGTGAAAATATAGGACTATATAACAAAAAACAGAATTACAAGCATGTTTTCCTCTCTTTTTGTGGACTAACTATACTTCGAATATGTTCATTTTTTTTTTGGCTAGCTTTGCCAAGACCGCAAGTATGTTATACACTACATTTAGCTTTAAGAAGCTAAGGGAGGAATAGTTGCATGGCCTGCCAAGTTTGTTAGAAGAACTTAGTCGTACTTGTTTTCAGAGGTAATTGTTTAATATTATATTTGTGAATTTATATGTTTATGAATGATATAAATATAATTTTTACGTGTTTATGCATGTCTTATTTGGAAGCTGCAATTTTCAATGCTGTTAGATTTAGACTACTTAGGCTGGATAGAGTTTAAACTTGCCCCTTCTAATATTTGGTTCAAGCTTGTATGGAGTATCCATGATTATGATCTTGGCTGAAATTCTGATGTTTTGAAATTGATGCTTTATGTTTGTTTGCATTTAGAAAATATGCCTGCTGGTGGAAGAATAGTGTTGTCCTTTTTTTTTGTTTCTGTTGGAATATTGTTTCCTGCTGGTTGTTATTTTCTATAGCCCAGTTTGTCTTTGTCCTTTAAATAGCCCAGTTGCAATCATAGTTTCTGCTGCTTGGTTTTACATTGTTGCCCTCTTAGTTTTTGTTGCCTGCCTCGCTTTGCTCGCCTTCCATTTTCTCTCTCTCCTTCTTCCTTCCCCCTTTTTCACACCTTAGCCTTTTTGCTCTCCTTGATCCTTTAGATGATCATACCTAATAAATTGTATATGGCACTTCTTGTGAATAAGAGATAGGTGGAGGAAAATAATGTGTACATTCAAATTGTACAACATATAGTTGACCCAAATTCTTAAATGGTAGGAGAAATATTTCTAAATGGATGATTAAGCTCAGTCTAGGACTGACTTTAATGGATGATTATGCTCAATATAGGGTCAACATTGTTGACAATGGACTCGCATTTATAAAGGATAGAATATAATGAGAAATTTTATGCTTGATTGGCTACAATGCTTATTTTCCCATTCTTTCAACCCAAAACCTAATATTCTAGTGTACTCTAATTGCAATCCTTTAGAGCGTGAATGTACATGCATAGTAAATAGTGTGTGATGTGAAAAATATCCTCAACGTTACAAGATGTGGAATACCCCTTGTCTCTAGTTGAACACTTCTCTATGCATGTACATTAGCTTAAAGAAGACAAAAAACCTTGTGGCTCCAATTTCAAAAGAATGCTAAAAGATCTTCTTTTTGGTTTTTAGTTTGTCTTCTTTAATGCATATTCTTATCATAAGGCACAAGCGAAAAGACATGAATTTTATTTAAATATTGATGTCTTTTCATTTGATTTTGTTATGCTGTATGCATGCTGCACAAATTCCGTCTCCCCTCATTCCCTTGCCTTTTTTTTCTTTTTTTTTTTGTTTTCATAATTAATTCCCTTGCCTTTATTGTAGTATTGTTTTGTTGAGTGCTTTTATATCAGTTGGTTTGCAATAACTCTTTGACATTTAATTTAGTGGGAATAGGAGTAGAAATTCTGTAAAGTAATTAAAGAAAGATTTGACCACTAAAAATAAACATAAAGCATCACTATCTTATTGCAAACGAACAACCAGCTAAATATAATTGGGCTATATAAAATAACATCTTCCATCTGGTTACACATCTGGTTTAGGTGATATTTACTTTTTTTAATGCTTTAATGTAATTTCTTATACTTAATTTTTTCATGTTATTTTATCCATTTATATCACGTTTGTTAGTATATCTTACTGTTAAAACATATTTTTTGTCTTAGAGCTTACAAGTAGTCCAAAAGTCATCAGCATACAATTGCCAAACAAGCTCATTTAAAGACTAACCATTTCCTAAGTTATAAAAGTTTATTTTCAAGCCAGTGACTAAACTACCTAATCTTTGAAAAATACCGGCTCTCTGCTGTGTTCATTAGTTTAAGCCACTGCATCAATGCATTTTATCCACTTCAATAAAACTTTGTTCGTCCTTTTGTGATTGTTTTCCCGTAAATATGTGATATTAATTGTTTTCTGTCTCCCTCTGTATTAAGGCCAGCAAAAATGGAGTTGAAAGAAGATAAACCATAGAAATAGAGTCCCACTGAGGCTTTATATGTCTTATACGAATATCTGCAAAGAATTTTATATTTAATTCTATTAAAACATCTTTACAAGTCTGTTTGCATAGAAGCTTCTGAATCTTTTATTTTCAACAATACTCTTTAATATGTTTAATTGTTTAGTATTCAAGGCAGTTATAAGAATTTTTTTTATTAATTTTTTTATTAATTTTTTTTAAATTTAATTATTATTATTTTTTTATATATAAAAAAAAACCATGTATACTACTATGAACATCAGGGCAAGCTTTTGACATTTGTTCTTTTGTTTTTTCGGTTGAACTATCAAATATTTCACTTTCTCAATTTTCCATCTTTAACTTAATCCTTGATCTACAGTGCTGTTATTATGGATCTCTCCCTTAAGCATCATCATTTACTCATACTTATGTTATAGGTGCTTTATGTTCAGATTTTAGGATTGTCTTATACTTCTCACCGTCTCAGTACAGATTATGATTCATATTGTTCTTACCAGAGCAAATATATCAGATAACCTAACAGTGTAAGATCACTCATAAACATATTTAGTTTTGCAATGAAACTGAAAATAACTCACGCGGACATACATGCTGTTACCAAACTGTTTGCAGTTATAGTTTTAGTAAATCTGGACTTAATTGACTATGTTATTTGCGTCGGTAACTGTTTATCGTGCTTGTTTTATTTTGTATTTTCCAGCTGAGAGCTTAGAGGAAACTTGCAGTTGTATGATTGTCTCGATGTATCGACAGAAAGGTTTCAGCCTCAACTTACTTTCTAGCATTTGTCAAATATAATGTGATTCTCTTCTGGTCTGTACAAAAAATGTTTACTTTAGTGTTTCATCATTGAACATTCTCATTATATATTATGAATTTTCAGTAAGTAAAGTTAAGAATTATGAATCCTGTAGCAATGTTTTTCATTTTAGTTTATTGATTTGTGCTGTTCTTTAAAACTCTCATTGTTAAGTCCTCTCGATTTCAACTTCAGCAATTTACAGCCTGTTTCTTTCTGAGAACCAAAATTTGAATTGGAAATTGGGTTTACCTGAGCTGCTGGATAAACTTCAGGGACGGCGACCGTGGCCGGAAAAGATGAAGATGCACCTACATCAAGCATGGGTTTTGTATCAATGGGGGATAAATAGAGGGTGAGTCCACCGTGTACTGCAGTTTTGCTTCGGCTTCGGCAAAGAGATTTTTGTGACAGTAGGAGAGGTCTTCAACTAGCTCTTGGCTAACTCGGAGCGTAGGTCAGAAATTGTTTTCCTCAGTTCTTTCCTTATCTCCTCTGCTCTTCCCAAATTTTCTTGAGCCCATTCAAGTTTTTCAGTTAGAGCATCTCCAATGCAAAATGCTATATTTCCATGTCAAATCTATATTTTAAGAGGAGCTACAATGTTAAAATGTTACATTTTTGCAATTCTGCTCCAATGGTGCATTTTATCCACAATGCTATTTTTTGACACAAAAACCATTTCATGTTTTGAGAGCCCATTGGAGTGCCTTATTTTCATTCTAGCAACTTTTGATAATCTCAAAATATGAGAGGTCTTTTGAGAGAGCCCATTGGTGTGCCTATTTTCATCCACTTGCTATATTTTGAGTTTGAGAGGTCATTTGAAAGCTTCTATATTTGAGAATACATTTGAGAATCTCAAAATATGAGAGGTCTTTTGAGAGCCCATTGGAGTGCCTTATTTTTATCCACTTGTTATATTTTGAGTTTGAGAACCCATTCGAGAGGCCATTGAAGATGCTCTTAGTTGTCAATTTGATGCTCAGGGGAGTCATAAATAGTAGAGTTGAATTTCCTTGGTAACTCATGGTGTGGGATAGGCGAGTCGACAGACTTTATGACCTTCTTGGTGTTGCTGGGTTGAGATGGTCTATAATGTTGTTGCTTGTGGCCTGGTTTGGATGATGCTGGTTGGTTAATTGAGGGTTTTGGTTTAGCAGGGAGAGGTGGTAGAGATGGTTTGTTTAGTGATAGAGGAGGTGGTGTAGGAAGAGATTGACCAGAATCGAGAGGGAAAAATGGTGGTTTCAGGTGGTTAGGGGAGGGAAGGAAAGGAGGTTTCCGGTGGTTGGGAGGTTTCATGGTTACTCCTGGAGTTTTTGTTTCATTCAAATACAAATAACATTCCCTTTGTCAACCTCCTTATTAGAAAAAGAGATAATACATCATATAAACTAATGTCCACCTTTTTATGAACCAATATATATATATATATATATATATATATTCTTAACATTCTTATATGAAAATAGAGTTCATGAAGCACGATTTTAAAGAATATTAAAACTAGCATTCTTTTCTTCTGTTGTCTATAAATTGAAAATTGCTCTTAGAAAATTTAATCAACAATTCACTTTTGTTTAAGTTCCTTTATACATTGTTTTCATCTGTGGCTTCTACTTGCCTATTGTTACAAGGGGAGTGGATGGGAAGTGACATGGGTATAAATGAGTGGATATGTAGCACTACCCAACAGTTCGAGCTTTTGGTTAAATGGGCAAGCGCCCATCCATTACAGTTGGTATCAGAGCCAGACCTAGTCCTTGATTCGGTGTCACACCAAGTGTCAGGCCCGGAAGGCGTTCAGGTGAGCCACCCCGGGTAAGCAGGGTGGCCTAACCGCAACGAGGACGTTGCGAGTTTGGGTGGGGGAGAATGTTACAAGAGGAGTCTTGTCCTACATCGGATCTGGATGGGAAGTGACATGGGTATAAATGAGTGGGTATGCAGCATTACCCAACAGTTCGAGCTTTTGGGTAAATGGGCAAGCGCCCACCCGCTACACCTATCCGAATGAAAAGTATATTGATGCATGCCTTCTTTAAGTAGAAACAAACCTTAAAAATGAATTGTTTCTACTTTAAGGAGTTGGCAATTTAATAGGGAAAATAACAAACAATTATTCTTCATGCTATCTGAACTTTCACCTGAAAGATGAGTAAATGCAATTCAACCCAACAAAGCCTTATCCAAAATAATATTTAGATCAATTTTGTCAATATAAGTTGACACAAAAAAGAATTATGGAAAGAAAATTAAAACAACGAAAAATAACTATCTGTCAGGGTTGCTCAGATGGAAGGGTCTCAGGATTAATCCTACCTTGAAGTCAAGTCCAACTCTTGATTTAAGCAAAATAAGGACCTTCATCATTACCACAACCATTAGGACTTCTAATTGTCACTACAAATAAATTCCCCCAAGCATAAAGAACGATGTCTCAACAAATTACAGAAATAACAAAAGTTTTAGTGCTAAAAGTTTCAAATGCTTAACACAAATCACCACTACAACAACAAAATTCATTACATATATCGAGGCATCGAATAATAGAGGAAATAGGGGACTTGATGAATGTAAGAAACAACCAACAAAAGCATCAATTCAAAGAGCTCTTCATAGGAAGTGTAGTATCAAAGTCATCACTCTAGTGGTGATCAATGTTGCTAGGCTCATTTTCATTAATTGCTTCAATCAGTTCTAGATTCTCCACAACTTCTTTCATTGATGGCCTTTTTTGGGGGACAGAATGAAGACATCTTAGAGCAAGTTGAGCCATTTGTGTAGCAACTCTGGAAGGATATTTCCCTTCAAACCGGGAGTCCATTACGCCCTTCAACTTCCTTCTGTTACATAATCGTGGTTTGATCCAGTGAACCAGATTATGTTGCTCAGTTGGACGATTTCTGTCAACTACCCGCAAGCCTGTTAGCATTTCAACCAATACAACGCCAAAACCATACACGTCGCTCTTTACATATAGACGTCCTGTTACATAAGCATTCCAGGCCCCGAGCTGCTCCCACTAAAATCTTAAGCCGTATGCCCCATGGAAGTGACTGAGCAGCGGGTCCCCCTGCACTAGTCAAAGCAATTGGTGTAGAGTGAACCGATTAAATGAATTCAACTGACTTGTAGAAGAAAAGTGTGTTAATATTCACTAGCACATTTGCATTAATTCACACACAGTGTTGTTAAAGGTGCGCCTAGGCTCAAGGCATCGGTCTAGTGCCTGTTGTCATCCTAGGCTCATTGATTTTTACTAGGCCCGTGCCTCGGTTGTGCCTCGTCCTATTTGTTAGGTGCGCCTCATTGTTTTTCTTTTTAAAAAAATTGATTATTCTATTTCTTAAGCCAAAAGGGGTACTTTTGGCAATTTAATAAACTAATAAGAAAGCCTAGCTTATGAGCGAAGGAACTTTTGTTCAAAAGAATAAACAAATAAGAAAGCCCAAGAGTCAAACGTGTCAACCGAATATAGAAAGAGTGAGATTGAGACTAACGACGAGGCCCTAGTTGCAGACATGAACAATGAAGCTATGTCAGTTCTTTCTTCTTCTCTCTTCTCCTCTACTTCTCTCTGTTCTCTTCTCTCTCTGTCTTCTTCTTATTTTTTTTTTTTTAATTTTTTTTTCTTGCGTCTTTGTTTTTTCTCCTTTTTCTTCACACATTCTCTCTCTTCATCTATTTCTTTTGTTTTTGGCTCTTTTTTTTTGGGCTCTGTTTTTTTTTTCCCTCCTTTTTATGTTAACAGTTTTTTAGGTTTTGTTAATAGATTTATTTCTTTTTTTGCTCTGTTTTTCCATTCAAAAGAACGAATTATGTTTTGCCTTTCAAGAAAACAAATTTTTGCTCTGATTTATGCTTTTTGAATGCTTATGTAGTTGATGGATTTACTTTTTTATATTTGATATTAATTTTTAGAATTTTGATACGACTTATGAGATATGAATGTTTCTATGGTAGTTTAAAATTTCAATTGTGGGCCTCACTTCACTCAGGCGCGCATGCGCTTCGCATTGCGCCTAGGCTCCAAAGCACCTCTAGCGCCTTGAGCCTTTAATAACACTGTTCACACACACACAGTCTTACTTCTAAAAAGGTGGTAGTCCAAGCTACCCTTTTGTATGAATTCATAGACAAGGAGCAGCTTTTCACCCTCCCAACAGTAGCCCAGCAACTTAACAAGGTTAGGATGAGAATGCCTTCCTAGGAAATTCACCTCACACTGCAGAAATAAATGAAAAAACAAATACGAATATTAGAAAACTGTTTATTGATCAACAAACTATTCATTTAGTTGGAAATGCACAAATATAGAAAGTTTAGGCATACATTTTTTTTTTTTTTTTGAAAGGCAAAAGGTATAGATTTTAGCTACAGCAGACTTGTAAAATTTAGGCATACATGAAAAGAATAAATAATTAAATTCTAGTCTATGATTCTGAGATTGAATACATGACAAGTACTCCGTATAAAGCTATGAAAGGCAAATTAAAAGCACCCAAGATCAAATAAGTAAAATGACAGACTAAGTACAGTTGAACTACCTTCCACTCTTCAAATCCTTGCATACTACCAGAACTCAACTTCTTGACAGCAATGAACATTCCACTCCTGTTCTTAGATGTCGCCCTCTCATCAAGCCAACCCTTGTAAACTTTTCCGAAACATCCTTCTCCCAACATTGTATCAGCTCCGAAATTTCTAGTTGCGGCTTTCAATTCAGCAAATGTGAAGATTCTCAAATTGTGTGTGGGCAAGATCTGCCCAGTTGGATATAACTCATCCCCACCACTTGCCGCTGAGAATGAATACTCCAGGCCAGCCACCACTTCAGCCATTGTAAGCCGTTCATTTGGATTATTGTGCAAGCATTTGGTGGCAATTTCGGCAAACACCTTCAAACAAGGTGGCGATATTTGCTCCCTCACGCTGGGATCAACTATTCAATCAAGTGTTCCCTCTTTGATGCAATGTTTGGCCCATAGTGCTAGACTATGTTGCTCCTCTTCAAGTCTTACATCAACCGCCGGCCTCCCACAAAGCACTTCAAACAATACCACACCAAAGGCGTACACGTTGGATTTCTTTGTCAGCCTACAAGTGAAGAAATATTCTGGATCAAAGTACCCAAAGGTACCTTTAATGGCAGTGCTAATGTGGGTTTGTGACTGGCCTGCATTGTCCATTTTAGACAACCCAAAGTCAGAAATCTTAGCTACCCAATTTTTATCCAACAGTATGTTTGAGCATTTCACGTCGCGGTGTATGCCTCCATGATGGGCGTCCCTACTGGTATGAAGGTAGGCCAATCCACGTGCGGCACCAATGCAGATGATGAGCCGTTGTTCCCAAGAGAGAGGAGAATTGACATCACCCTTTCTTCTAGTTTGGTAGAGATGATCAGCAAGAGTCCCATTGTCCATATATTCATAGACTAGGAGCATCTCCTGGGAGTCTTCATAGTAGCCTATCAAAGAGACGAGATGATAGTGCCGGATTGTCGAAAGGGTCTCAATCTCCATCCAGAACTCAACAGACCCTTGTTTACACTCCGATTTGAACTGCTTTATGGCAACAGTCTTGGTTCCATTATCGATAAGCCCTTTGTACACATTACCAAATCCGCCTTTCCCTATGATGAATTCATCACCAAAGTTATTGGTCGCTAACTGGATCTCTGCAAACGAGAAACGTCTGCACACTCCCTCCTTTGACAGTGTTGATGATGATATGTTCTTTTCTCCAGAGTTTGATCCCCAAGTATTTAATTGGTAAACTATGATATTCAAGAGAGTGAGTATTAGTATCACACCTGTCGTAATTACATTGTGGCTTCCAAAAGCTAAAACCAATTTTCCATGCAGGGTCCATGATGTGGGAGAATGTGCTGTTGGCACGGGGTTGGGACCGGCAAGAATGTTGTTCGGGTTGGCCAACTTAAATATTTCTATACCGTTTAGGATTGGATCAGCATCTGAGTCATGCTGGGGCTGCAAAGCCACAATGAGATTATGCTTGCCCTCGAATTTGTTTCCTTCTATTTTCACCACATAGTCCCTGTATTGTGCAACCCCATACCCACCACTCCACTTCACTACATCTGCATTAGTCTCAGCAATCTGATTGTTTATGAAGATAGAAAACTCCCTTGGGCTGCCGTTCTCAGTGGTCGTGGATTCAAGCTCACAGAAATGGAGCCTAACCAGGTACCTGAATCCCAGATCCACTGGTAATTTCGATGTTAAATTATGCATCTGATCTGCTACTTTGTTTTGACCCATTGACCAAGATGTTCTGTATACTTTCATTGGTGCAGTGTAGGTGGGTATGTTAGCATACTTGATCACAGCCTTTGTGGTTCTGGTAACTGATAATACACCTGATTGTAACAAGTAATTCTTGTCCTCGGACCACACACGGTACATATCCAAATCTTCTTCGACTGACAAAATGGATCTCCCTCCAACATTTAAGAGGTAAACCATCTCTAGTGCAGTGCTGTTATCAATATAGTATCGAAACTTGTTGCCAACGACACGAGCACCCAAATCATCATCGGGAGAGTAATAAAGACCAGTGGGCATGGAGACGACCTCAATTCCATTGATAAAAGCATAAACATCATCATCAGTTGCACTACTTGTAGACGGAGAGAATGTTATGCTAAAAACTTGATTTTGTTCAATGTTGACGCAAAATTCTTTAGCAAAATATTTTACGCCCAGAGCATCAGCAGCAAGGGAAGCGCTGAAGTTGTGAAGAAGGGTGTAAGGACCAGCTTTAACAGTGAAAAGTGCTTTTGATCTATCGAAGCCATGGTATGAAGCTGGAAGAAAGTGCAGGCGAATGAATTTCTGACCCGGTCTTAATTGAAATGTGTAAGTGAATTGAGAACGAGAGATCCTAGCAGTCATGTAAGGAACAAGGTCAACGAAAAGTGATTGGTGGATGGTTTTTGAGCTCGTTGATTTGCCTTTGAGTACTTGTGATGAAGTAAATTTAGAATTGGTGAACTCTCCAATCCATTCCCGGCCATCAAAAGCAAATGAGTTTCCAGTAGAGCCGCAGTTCAGGGCGAAATCATCCAAGGGGCGATAAGGGGAAATAGAGTTACTGCTGACTATAAATCTAAGATGGTACTGGAAGAAGAGGTAGATGGTGGTAATGGTTGCAAGTAGAGGAAGCTTCATTTTTTTTCTTTTTTTTTTTGGGAATCTGGACAGAAGCAAAGAGGATGAGCAAAAACTAAAATCTGCCAAACAAAAAAGAGCTTGTAGATATTGATAATGATTCCAAGCAGAGGAAGCTTCATTTTTTTAATTTTTTAATTTTTTTTTTGGGAATCCGGACAGAAACAAGAGGATGAGCGAAAACTAATCGATGGGAAAGAGATAAGGCCATCGGCAAACAGTTTTGTTAGGATTTGCATTAGTGTGGGGCTGACAATTAGGTGGCTTCACATAAAAAAAGCTTGCAATTGCAACAGCCAAAATTAGTCGTCCCATTTCATTTTCTTTTCTTTCTTTTTCTCCTCTGGAGTGGTTGATCCATACATTTTCTTTTCTTTCTTTTTCTCTTCTGGAGTGGTTGATCCATAAATATATTGTTAAAATTGCTATTACCATATTATACAAATACAATAGTCAAATATTGCAGCCAATTACATCAGCTTAATTGCTCATGCGGGTGGCAAAAATTTGTGCATACCCAACCATACACGTTAGCATCTCAGTAAGGTCCACATGAAGGATGTGCTAAAAACCTTTTAAGCTAAGATATGCTTTTATTAGTAAATTTTTTAAATACAGATGAATGAAGAAGAGAGCATTAGAATTGTTCGTTTTTGTTGTTTTCCTCTTCATTAATCAGTAAGTGCAAACATATTGACCAATGGAGTTGTGGCTCGGCCTCTTTTACCCTGTGACAGCGATAGCCTGAATTAATTAATTTACGCAGGGGATAGAATCTCTGTTTAATAATTGGGTTCATAATCGAAGCAAGAAAAAGGCTTATTTGAATTAAATTGGTAGTATGAAAGAATATAAATAGATTATATCGACCTGGTCTCTTTTCTTCTCTCAATTTTCTACCTTCTCCTATTTTTTTTTTTTTAATCCCACCCAATCTAAGCAGAGAAGAGAGTGATGGAAGAGAACACAGAGAGAGAGAGAGAGAGATACACACGGTGTAGAAACGCGCGGGTTATTCCTAATGTGGAGCAAAAATAATGTGACAAGTGTCCCTAAAATAGAAAATAAAAAAATATATATATAAAAAATTGAATGCTTGCCAAGTCAACCCAAAAGGATGCAAATCAACTCTTAATTTAACTCTCCCTCTCTCAAACTACTTCGCTAAAACCCTAATCTATTAATACCAGAAGTTTTAACTTTAATTTATGTTTCATGGTTTAATGTGTAATCCTTATGTATACGTATCAATTGTTTTTATCTAAAGTACACCAAATTATATAAAATCTGATTGACATAGTTTGATAGATGACTTGTTGATTGCAGGATAGATTGTTATTACTTATTTCTTGTCTTCTTTTTCTTTTGGCGGAAAACAAATACCTATGTATTATTACATTTATAGTTTTTCTTTGTATTTATCATCCAAAACTTTGTTTGTATCTTATAATATTATTTTATTTAAGAATTTTAGCTTTTTTATTTTTATTTTTTACTAGATCCCCTTCTGATTCACTCCCTGAACAAAAAGAGAAACCAAAGTAGCCTGAGAGAAAGGGGGACAGAGAGTTAGATTTGGATCATATTGGGTTTAATCTGGATAATCTCTCAAATCTTTTAATTTTTATTATTTTATATTATAGGGACATGCGTTCCACTAATTTTGCGCTATATCAGGGGTAAGCATGAATTTTTTATTCACCGGTGAGTAGGCAAGTATTGTCCTTGAAAATATAGGAATTTATACCGGCTATAATAAATAGTATGAGGGCTTCTTGTACTTTATCTTTTTTTGTCTTAAAATCTCAGTGAATGGTTGTATATGCTTAGACTGATTTCTTCTTTTATCTCATTGAATGGTCATACATGCTTAGATTGATTTATTCATTCTTAGATAATAGTGTGAATATATTGATTTATTTCTAAATAGAATTTGACTATGTTGATGAATGCATGCCAAAATGTAAAAATAAATAAATAAATAAAAGTGCCCTCCACTTCTTTATCTCTAGCACTATTAACCAATCAAATGTATTCGGTCAAAAAATTTTGCCTAACGCTTTGGCCCAAATATTATTACTCTTTCACAGCGAAAAATGATTTTAAGGCCAATCAGTTAGGTAGAATTCTGTTAGGCGCTGAATGTTATACATTTAAACTCCTTTTCTTGCATGTTTTATTCTCTTAATAGTAGTTTATTTATGATTTTACATTGTTTTATTATTTTTACTTATTTCATGGCTTTAATTGTAAAATATAATTATACTTAGAAAATTGTCCAAAAAAGTCATAAGTTGATGAGAATGGAAAGAAGAAGAAAAGGAAAATTCCTTCTCCAAAAGGAAACTTTCGCCAAAGTTGGTAACTTGAATCCGTATTTGTAATCTAGTTGTATCTCTCTTATCAAGTGTCAAAATAGCTATATTGTTGCGAAGGTAAAAATAAAGGTAATTAAAAAAAAAAAAAAATTGATATTTGAGTTGTCCCTTACTTTGGAAGAAAAACAATTTAATAGCTAATTAAAGAATATTATTTATATTTTAATTACTAATCAAAATGGATTCGAGGTTTTATGAGTTTAATAACTCTCTCCAAAATTAAATGAAGGATTTTTTTTTTTTTTCAAAACTAGGACCATTTGTCATGACAAATTTTACCGCTTAATTTCTCAGGCTATTTTAAAATTGGGCAAACTATAATATACTCCTTTGAGATTTGATTTAATTGTAACTAAATTTGAGGTTTGTTATTTTTTTGCAAAGACATCCCTCTATCAGATTTTATGTAAAATTTACTTATTTACCCTAGCTTCCTATTATACACTTGAAATGATTTTTATCTTAAAAATAACAAATGACCCTTTTACCCAAAAGAATATTCTTCTTTCTTTTCTTTTTATTTATTTTTTTTCAATATTCCCTTAATCTTCTCTGTTACTCTGCACTATCACGGTTGCCACCAAGCACAACCATTGAAGCAGATGGAGCATCGCGAGTTCACATCGGAGACAATCACCATCCTCCGACCACACCTCCACCTCTCACCACCAACCAAGAACACCACCATTGTTGATCAATTCTGAACTAATACCACCATCACCGATCCATCTTAACCCAACACCACCACCATCATCGATCCATTGTCCATGACGCTCAGGGAAATGGAACTTGACTCATAAACGCTCTCCTGAAATTCACTGGACGATGTTGTTCTCATACTCGATTCCATCGCCAAAAAATAGCAGTGATTGGAAATTCCAATTCACCAAATTTTGAGACGCAAAACCAGCTTGTGATTTTCTATAATTGGTGCCTAACAAGTCACTCCCTCTGCAATTTGTCACTTCAAACACACTTGGATTCAATCCAAGACCCTAATTGGTCCAACCCAATCGAATCAAACCCTAAACTCGTATGCAACATAGACGACGACAACGATGCCGAATAAATCAACTTTGAAGTCTCCTTCCAATCCACCTTCCTATCACTAAACACAATTCGAGCATCTCTAAATGCCGGCAAAAACTTATCCTTCGCAAATTTCTCTTTGGAAGCCTGGACACAGATCGCCATTTCACGCTCTTCGCATTTTTTTTTTTTTAGGTAAAAACGCTCTTCGCATTTGGCTCTATCCGTAAAGTCCATTTTCGATCTACCCAATACAGTTTTCCACCACGGGCTTACACTTGCTCGATGCGCTGATGGCGCAGCCGATTCCGGCACCGACCTCGCATTGTGTGGTG